GCTATCTAACAAAATGAAGTTCAATGGTGAAAAGAGTAAGGTTCTACATTTAAGCAAGAAAAACAAAATACATAGGTACAGCATATGTAGCACCTTGCTCAATTGTAGTAACTGTGAGAGGGATCTTAGAGTCCTAGTGGACAGTCATCTAAATATGAGGGGCAGTGTGCCAAAAAAGCCAACACAGTTCTAGGCTGCATAAACAGAGGGATAGAATCAAGATCACATGAAGTGTTAATTCCACTTTATGATGCCTTGGTAATGCTACACTTGGAATACTGCATTCAGTTTTGGTTGCCATGATGTAAAAAAGATGTTGAGACTCTAGAAAGAGTGCAGAGAAGGACAACAAAGATGGTTAGGGGACTGGAGGTTAAAACATATGAAGAACCATTGCTGGAACTGGGTATGTCTAGTCTGATGAAAAGAAGAACTAGGGGTGAATTGATAACAGTGTTCCAATAGCTCAGGGACTGCCACAAAGAAGAGAGAGTCAAAATATTATCCAAAGCACCTGACGGTAGGCAAGAAGCAATGGGTGTAAACTAATCAAGGAGAGAAGCAACTTAAAACTAAGGAAAAAATTTCCTGACAGACCCAATTAATCAGTGGAACAACTTGCCTCCAGAAGTTGTGAATGCTCCAACACTGGAAGTTTTTAAGAAGAAATTGGATAACCATTTGTCTGAAGTGGCATAGCGTATCCTGCCTAAGCAGGGGGTTGGACTAGAAGACTTCCAAGGTCCCTTCCAACTCTGTTATTCTATTCTATTTTATTCTATTTATTGAATATAAGTAAAGATTTATGGAGTTTTGACATTTGTTCAACAATGTATACAGATAGATATATACACAAACAGGGGAACTTTTAACATGCGTGAAAGACCAAAGAAAACATTACACAGGCTGGAACAACTTTTTTCTGAGTAAACATTTCAAAAAATGATGGCATTATGATTCTTTGGAACAGTAGATACTGAAGCTGAAGCTCAAATAGTTTGGCCACCAAATGAGAAGAGAGGACTGATTGGAAAAGACTCTGTTGTTGGGAAAGACTGAAGGCAAAAGGAGAAGGGGACGGCAGTGCATGAGATGGTTGCATAGTGTCATCTACACAGAGGATCTGGCCATTATCCAGATGCTCTTAGGTTGTTCACAAGTAGGATATGGAGTTTTCTCACCATTGTTTCCCTGCAGCTAATATTTGAAGTCAGGCTAACCCCCAACCTGAGGTATGAATTTATCTGATCCTATTTAAGTCCATCTTGATTACTGATCATTACTGTGCCTTGGGCTAATGAATTTCACAGGCTTATGCCTTGCATTTGAGGGCCCCTGGCTGGCCTTTGAGGGAACTAAAAACAATTAATGGGTCTGCAAGTCTCATCCGGTCTATTATTACTGCAAATGCAAGCATATTCAAACACAAAGTATGTACAGAACAACTCAGTTGTACAGAACCAAAAAGAAGACCTGTACTTCTATCAACCGAGATCTATACTGACAGAAATCATGAAGTCTCCCCCCTCCAAATTGTTTAAGGGCTTCTTTTATGAAGTAGCAACATAATGTTTTAAAAAGATTTTCTAAGGAACAGAGCTGACATTTAACTTACCCTATATGAGAACTGCTAAAATTAATTTATTTTTACATGACTGCAATTCATGTTCCAGTTTATCATTTAATGGTAAATAAAATTAATTTCATGCTTGCATTCTTTTCATTTTAAGTGAGCCAGAGGAGTGCAAGGTAAATTTTCACCTCAGTTAGTTAATTTACATCTGATTATTCATAAGGTTCAGACATCTGCCTTTGCATATAATGGAGTTCGGGAGGATTATAAGTTAAATTAAAGGGTATTAAAGTCCTTATTAATGTATCATAGTGGAAGAGCTGGTTCTAAAATTCTGATGATGTTCCAGGTTGTAACATGAAAGGGATGCCATTACAAGTTTATTTATTTGTCCAACAAGTTCAAGGTAACAGGTATAAGTATGAACATAAACAAGAACAAAGGAAGTAGATGCAGATAAATGGTGACAGTAAGACAGGGACGGTAGGCATGCTGGTGCGCTGATGTATGCCCCATTTAAGGACCTCTTAGGAGTGTTGTGA